AAGCAACCCTTCCAAACACTATAAGCACTTCAGAAAGACTATCGCTTTTTGTTTTCTGAAGTTAGAGCTATGTCGACACTACCGTTTCAGGGCGGGGTCATTTTCAGGACTTTCGTCCCGGATTCAGCTTTTGGCACATATGCCATGTTGACCGCCATGGTCATTTTACCCTAAAACAGTTGAGATTACCTGTGCTAAATGAAACGCATACAAACTCATATACAGGTCCTAGACTAAGAAATAAAGAAAATAAAATTCAAAGATTGTATCCTGAATACTGATTGGCTAGTTGTAAATACTAGACTGATTGTCATTGGCTATAGACAAGGGTGCGATTACAGCTCAGAAAAGGTGCGATTAATGATGGTAATAGAACGAATAGGAGTGCTATTAATGCCATAATCATACGAATGATTACAAAATCAACCGACCGCGTAGCGGGAGGTTGATTTGTTAATTACGAGTATGATTATGGCATTAATAGTACGACTCAATTCGCTCTATTACTTATTAATAATTTATCTTCTGTAATCAAACTGTTTAAGGGGGAAAAGCAGAAAAATACAATTTGTTGAAATTCAATATAATTATTAAATTTTTGTCACGACAATTCTTAGTGAAATAGTACAATTTTGAATTATATTTATCATATATAATCAAATTAACATATTATTAACTTCCGGGCATTATTTCCGGTATAATCACATGACAACATTTGTTTGAATTATTCAACACACAATTGGGAAGCCATGTTTGTATGTTTATAACGTGTTCAAAATAGTGAAGTTCTTTAGTTAAGTTAATCATCTGAATTGGATTGAAATATAACTCCTGGTTGTGTCTAGTTCGGTGTCTTCTGCTGGAAGAACAGGTAGGTCATTTTCGTCAGAAAATATATAATTTAACAACCCTCGAAAACGAGATCGGCATTCGGCAATGTTGACCTACAGTATTAAAATGCCGACCTATCAACCTCCCAGGTCGGCAATGTTTTGCCGACCTTAATTCAGGCAAAGTAAGAATCTTTTTTGGTGCTTATAGCTGTTAAAAAGTCGGCGATTATAGAATTCGATACACTTTGGTGTAAGGTTTAAGAATTAACGGGTATTATGATATAATTTAGGTAAGACTGTAAAAGAAAAGCCTTCGTGACATTTATACTTTTCAATGATTCGTAAATACGTGATTACTAGTGCGGGCTGCAAGTGCTCCAAGACATGGAAACAGATTTTAAAAAATGCAGAGATGTGCCGAGATAGGTCAGATTTAGGTCGGCTTTTTTTTTCCGACCTCAATTTTGACGGTTTTCGAGGGCTGATTTAAAAATTAAAAGGTCAAAATTTGTGAATTCCTCCATTTTGATTTTTTTTACAGCAATAAAGAAAATAAAATTCAAAGTTTGTATCCTGAATGCTGATTGGCTAGTTGTAAATACTAGACTGATTTTCATTGGCTGTAGACAAGAGTGCGATTACAGCTCAGAAAAGGTGCTATTAATGCTCAAATCGCACTCCTGTAAACCAATGAAATTGCAGTATTTGCCACTGATTACAGAAGATAAATAATTAATGCTCAAATCGCACTCCTGTAAACCAATGAAATTGCAGTATTTGCCACTGATTACAGAAGATAAATAATTAATGAAATAATTGTACTCCTCTCAACCAATCAGCATCCAGTAATTTTGTCATGCTAATAATAAATCCTGAAAAACAATGCGACGCAATAAAAACTTCCTAGAATCCCCATAGACGTCTATATAGAGTAAACATCGAATCATCTGAGACGTATCCCTAATATCAGAAAGATTCAATTTAAGAACAGGCGTTACAAAACACTATTTTTTCCTAAAAATGGTTCAAAACAAAAATCTAACTGCACTGTGTAGTTGAAGGTGGTCACCCAACCATGAAAATATACTTCTTTAGTGAACTGTTTCCATAGTAACAAATATATGCCACGCCCGAAAGGAAAAAAGGAACAACTTTCAAACATGATAAACAGGTGAGAATTAATGAACTAAAATAACTTTTATTTTGTTAGTTACAATAGTGTCTAGGGAATGAACCAGAATCATTGCCTTTAGTTAATGCATATAGAACAACTATTATCAGAATTTATCCTACCAAATACAAAAAATGTGGAAACATGCATCACTGAAACAGTGATAACTCCTTGAAAATGCAGCAGAACTAAATTATTCTGGTTCATTCCCTGCAGCATGCATGATAGTTACTAGCGGACACATTTAATAGTTTCTGAGATAACAAGCATGAAAATTGAGCGATTGGAACATTTTTGCAAATTGAGAAAAAAAAACTTTAAAGGTTACGGTTTAAGGATTTCAGCTGCTAGTGGAAGCTAATACAAGGCAGTAAATGACATTTTTACTTTTTAACATGATCGTGACTTATAGTTAAACTCCCACAGGCTCCATTGACGGTGCTGAACCTGCATAATTTGCCTTGTATTTTCAGCTTTATGCAATGCCTTTTTTTTCATCATCTGTCTCTCTATCAATACTTTGGCAGGTATGACATACTTTACACAAAATCTCGACGTCAAGGCATTTACCAGTTTCCATTGAAATTGTAGCACCTCGACCATTTAATGGCGAATATCCCCGCCTTTGCCAAGTCCCGTAACAGGAAACAGTACACCGCACTGGAGAACTTCGTCATCAATATTATTGTCATGGCATAACTTCTTAGCCACAGTCGTGGCTGCTTTCAACAAGGTATCATTACAAGCAGAAGGTTTCGGCTGTGGGGGCATATTCATTAGGGAACAGAAGCGTCTCACAGAAGCTTCTTCTTGTCCAATGACAATGCTTCTCATTGTGTAAACAAGTCTTCTGTATACATTTATAAATGTTTGACCTTTTTTATGTAAAAAGGTATATACCCGGCCACATTTATCACAACGCATCCGAAGATGAGAAGCACAACCTATTATTTCCTGAGGATCATCTTCAACACTAGATTCTCCACATATTATTAAACTTACATGACATTTGCTGGAAAATTTAATTCAGTATTTCCCCATCAATGAAACGATAAGCAATTATTTTAGGCTCTTCATCTTTGGAACTGCTACTGGTAGCATCAAAGCTAAAAGATTGACCTATTTTTCTCGCTGAAGCAGAGAGCTAGATTAGCAACCGACTCACTAGAAACACCGGTTGCTCAATACTGTCAACACAAGATTTTTTCTGCATCATTTATGTGCCAATTCCCAATGAAATTTTCTTATATCCCTCCAAGATCCTCCCCTTACCATTGTCAAAAGACGATTAGTCCACAAAGAGTTCCGAAAAGTTCCGAACGGCAACCGAACTATGCCGAAAGGAGCAAAATGGCCGAAATATGTAAGTGGAAATTCTTTGAAAGGCTCGAATATAAAAAAATAATCCATGCGACAGGGAAAAAGGATGCGGGCGGGAACGAGAAACTACCATTTTTTTTACTTGGCCTTACGCAATAGTCTGAACAAAAATATAGACTAGCCATACCTTTCGCCGAAAACAACTTCGGCCCCTTCGAACATATATCGTGTTTGTAATAGTCTTGTTCGAATCTCCATCAAAAACACTATTTAGAGTGTTCTTTGCAAGCCTGTAACTTCAAATCTGTATTCTTTTTCAATATATTTCCATTTCTTGTCCGACTGTGAGCTCGAAGTGAGCTAATTCCAACCGGAAATACGACTAAAAACGTCAAAACAATGCGACCTTTGTACCGTATGACCCTGCAAATACCAGAAATGGATTCAGAAGGTCAAATTGCACCTACACGCGTGAGTTTGATGTCATCCCGGCTACAGGAACCCGACATCTTGAAAAATTCAAAATAAATATTTCTACTCGCCGTATTCAAACGAAATTTTGCACATGAAAGCGCTTGAATACAAAGAGTATTTTACACATACAGACGTTCAGAAAATTACGAAAAGTTCAAGAGATATTCAAGATTCTTTGGATATGAAATTTAGAATCTTTGGTAGTTTGCGTGCAGGCCCAGGGAAGAATAGTGGGCCTGCAAACAAGACCCGGTATTTTGTAAAACGTTCCTTTTCATAACACGCCCCATTCGCGCGTCAATTGTCAAAAAATAACCAATGACAGCAACCCAAATATTAACAAACAAACTCGCATTAAAATGCAGTTGCGGGAATTTCTCTGCTTATTCAGAATAGAAACAATGTGTAAATGGCTACATTTTAACTCCAAACAAGCAAGCAACGCAGTCAGTGTTTCGCTAATTTTAATATAGATCAGTAATGTCGTCATTGAACACACACAGTCACGTAACAGAAAATAGCGGGAAATAAACACGTTGGTTTTAAGTTGTTTACTCGAGGTTTAACGTTCAGAAATAGGTTTATATTTGGTATATTGTAAATTGATATCGGCCAAAGAAGTGAGTTCATGTTGGTTCTTATTATTAATTCACTTTATTTAGTAGATAATTCTTGTATTTATAATTTTAGATCGAATACTAAATACTACTACTATTATACGATATTTAGAAATTATTTGTGGTCACTTTACACACCGGTTTCTTGATTCTGGCGAGCCAAAAATTCGATTTCTAGCTGACCAGGGCTTAAAGGATATTCAGAAAATGACGGAGGTAACGAAGGAAGCGTTAAACGAAGCGAAAAAGAAGCGGCGATGTGCAAAATCGAGTGTTGACAGTGTTACAAGCTAAGGGCAGGAACACTTCAACACGAGAAATAAATCTGGTATTTCCAAGCACCCATCTATTTTTCTGTTTATTATATAAACAAAATTTAGTAAAAAACAATAAAACGTATGTGACAATGCGTTTTACAACAAATGATATTTTCACACGCAAAAATATCGTATTTTTTACGTGTGTTTAAATACGAAAAACTCTATATAACACTTATGTTTATATAATAAATACTGTTAGTGGATAGCGATGAAGAATTAATTTGCAACTGAGGAAGAGTGGATTGATGATTGTCAACAAAGATTTATGCAGATAAGGATCAGAACAAAGGATTATTTAAAGGTCAAGTCACAAGGTCAGTTTGAAAATGAAACAAACCCAGAAACAGGTTTAGTGCCCAATCAAACCGAGACAACTGTTAGTGACAATGGGCAGCAAGAGCATGACGGTATCCCTGGGTCTGGTCAAGACCCATCCCACAATGGTCAACCTCCATTTCACCAAGGTCAAGGCCCATCCCACCAAGTTCAACTCCCATCCCACCAAGGTCAACTCCCAACCCACCAATGTCAACCCCCAACCCACCAAAGTCAACCGCCTTCCCACCAGGGTCAATCCACCAAGGTCAACCCCCATCACACCAAGGTCAGCCCTATTCCACCAAGGTCAACCCCCATCCC